AGTCCAGAGCCGGGGCGTTTTGTTGACACGAGAGTCCAACAATGAAGAGTTGATTCTTTATGGCCTCATCAGCTAATTCTTGTTCGTTTCCTCTGAGTGAGGATATGTTCCAATTTCCGACTTTAAGCTCCCACTGGTGGTGTCGTCCTCGTGGAGCCTTTTCTGACGTGCTGTAATGGCATCGCGCTGTCTGCCTCCTCCATTCAGGACGGATAGCGACTGCGTTGCTGACTAGTATCTTTGTCGTCGTTCGGTCGTTCCATCGTTCTTCTTCAGCCGTCGTTGTGCTGTCACGCCTCCGGCTATATATGTAAATCGTATATGAGTTCTTTATGCGGGAGATGATATAATCCTTTGGTAAGTCAGAAACTGGAAGACCACGCATCAAATGTTCTTTAATTAGAAATTATAGGCGCCTGATGCAGACGGATGAACGTGAAGTAGCCAAGGGGTCCTTAACGTGGAATTGTAGGTGCATTTCACGCGCTAGAAGTGATAGGAATTGGAACCAATAGATAAGAGTAAAAGTAACAGTGCGCAGTGGCGTAATGCAAGAACGAAGAAATAGAAATAGAAATAGAAATAGAACTGGGCATTTTGCAAGACGAACCGACGAATTATCCGGAACGGAATGGAAGAACCGAAATGATGATAGACCGAGTTTCCAGGAGTATCTTATATAACGAAGAAGGGTCCTTAGACGGATGGTAACTAGACGATGTACCGTAAACGCTGGATACTGAAACTAAGTAAAGATAACTGCCGTAAGCTCTGTCGCATCGAACTGCGGTGGACATTAGTGATTCCGATGTGAAATGGAGACATTTAACTGCTTCTATCCTGAGAATCAGCCGGTACAAAAATGAAACTGTATCTAAATCATTCGCTGTATAGTGTTTGGTTGATTGGTCGCTGCCTGAATTAGTGGCTCGCTTGTTCATGAAGAAAGAATCGGAACAAGAATATGCGTGAAAGTTACAGTAAGTTATGTGGCGAGTGCTCCTAAGCGCGAAGCGTATTTTAGACTGTTCCAAGAAAAGAATTATCACTGTTTTGATTAAAATTTATGTAATGTTTTGCTGTATTATTTTATGTGAAGTTGGAGGGATGGTTGGTGCTACATTAGGCTTATTAGTAAAATATTCCTCGCTGTTGAAAGCAGTAATTTTCTGCCTTACTCGTCAGTGCGAATTCTAATCGCACATAAACTGCCAAACATTTTGAAATCAGTGCGCATGTCGGAGTAGATGCTGAAAACTAGAACGGCGTAATTAACAAAGACGGCCATAGCGACCTCAAAAATAGCGGCATGAAGGTTTTTGCAGTTTTGTGCAAGCAACGGACTATCCATTATGAATACCTTCTTCTAGCATCGACGAGTCCATCATTATATCTGGTACAGGGAAGCTAGTGCACAGAAGTCGATGATCGATTTCATAATCGTATCGACTGACTTAAGACGCTCAGTAATGGACGTTCGTGTTAAGAGAGGCGCAGAGCTATCAACCGATCATCACCTTGTTGTTGGCACGCTGCGCTG